GTCATCATCATTATAATCGTCATCATCATCATCATCCTCAAAAATGTCACCATCGTCATCATCATCATCATCCTCAAAAATGTCACCATCGTCATCATCATCATCGTCGTCATCATCAACTTTTATCTCTTTGATGTTGGCAATCACATTCATTTTCCTTCCGCTCGAATTTTCGAATTAAAAATCCATTCGAATGGACGATGTTTCCATCCTCGTCATCATCATCATCATCGTCATCTTCGTGATCCCCATCGTCATCTTCATCGTCATCTTCGTGATCCCCATCGTCATCTTCATCGTCATCATCATCATCATCATCATTACCACAACCATCATCATCACCATCGTCAGTCCCACCTATCTCAATTTCAATTTACTTTTCGCTACCTCCTCAAGTTAATGCATTTGAGTCGTCCAACACGTTCTCATCATCCTCATCTTCTTCATCCATTTCATCTTCTCATCGTCATCATCCCCACCATTACCATCATCCCCACCATTACCATCATCATCATCATCACCACCATCATCATCATCATTATCGTCATCACACAGTATCCGGATGTCCGGATTTGATCCCACCTTACAACGCTACAGCCCAGAGGAGAGCCGACAAGACGACCATCAAATGCAACCACAGCGATCTGACGTGGGACCTCCAGTGTAAAAATAATTCATGGATCGGCGATAACAACTACAACTGCAACCAAGGTTTGTTTCGTTTCGTATCGGTTAGTTTCGTATCGGTTGGTTGAATATTGGTTTCGTGGTTGTTGGTTTAAGTATCGGTATGGTGCTGGTGTTTTTTGGCTTTTTTGTTGTTATTTTGGGGCTTTGTTTAGTCGATTTTGTATCGGATTCGTATCGATATTGCTACGGTTTTTTGATATGGTGTGTGTCGGTTTTTAACCAGTTGTGCGTATGTGTGCGTGTGCGTGCGTGTGCGTGTGTGTGTAATATGTCAAATTAAAAAAAAATCAATAAGTGGATTAGATAATGATTTAAAATCATTTGAATTCAAATCATACCAGATGCCGTTAATAATAAAAACAATTCGGTATTGTACTCGTATAGTTTCGGTACTGTATTTCTATCGTATCGGTTTTGTACTTTTACCATATCGGTATTGTGTCGGTATAGATTGCGATATTTTTGCAGGTTTCAATGTCAGTATATATGATAGTTCTTTCACTAACTGTTGTTTAACTTTGTATGTAATATTTCAATATACTCTTACTACATGAATCCTTTTTTTACAGGTTTATAGTATTAATAGCCGGATAAAAAACAACAACAACATCAACAACAACAACATCCTAATATCAACAACAAATGCAAAAGCAACAACAAAATTACATTGCCAATAAATTTTAATAACATTTCTAAGACCATTAACAACAACAACAACAACAACATTACTATTAACATAATTAAAAAACGAATTAAATTTTTTGTAGTTACAGCAACAAACAAGCAAACCAACAACATCAACAATATGAGAAACAGCAACAACATGAACGTTAACAATGACGTCAATATCCACTCACGACAACAACAACGACAACAGCAGTAACAACAACAACAACAACGACAACAGCAGTAACAACAACATTAATGAAATGCACAGCAAAACGAATCAGCACTCGTACCGCATACACCTGCTGCTTCAAGACAAATGCTCTTGCTAACTACCCTAGCAATCAACTATCCTAACTACTACTACTAGCACCACTACTACTATTACTACTACTACTGCTGCTACTACTACTACTGCTTTTACTACTAATACTACTCTTTTCTGCTACTACTACTACTACTACTACTACTACTACTACTACTACTACTACTACTACTACTACTACTACTACTACTACTATTGCCATCACTACTAAAAGAAAGCGAAAAATATTAAAATTAGACGAATGAATAGAAGTGATAAGGAGGGGTGACAGCGGTGAAACTGCAATCCCAATTGCAAAATCATTAGTTGTGTGTAAAACACAAATTCAGGGGATTGTACAGAACAAGGCTGCAATTCGTGGAAGCTGGGAGAATGGCGACAATGCAGTGCGGAAGTGGGTTAAACAAGGAAAATTTCTTCATAGTGACTTCACCGAAATGATGTGGCAGTGGTTTTGCGATAGTCAACTTCGAAATTCGCCTATCAGTGGTCGCATGATCCAAGAGGATCGTCTCGATCATTGAGGGTGTGGTTCTTGGCATCTAATGGATGGCTGTATAAATGGATAAAACGTCACAGCAAAAATTACATATTGTATGAATATAATACAGCAGAGTGTACATTCACTAATAAAAAATAATGTATACATCTTGTGTACTATTTTTCATTTGGTTGTAAATGTGCTTTCTCTTCTTCCATGTAAGACCCTCCCTTTTAACACCTGATTTCTATGACATTTTCAAAGTCGTTAATTGGGAGTACCACTGTACTACAATTGCTAGTAATATTAATACTAATAAAATAATTACTATGTTTCATTTATAGCCCAGTATAAAAACAAACTAATAGAGAGAAAGAGAGAAAGACAAAGAGAAAGACTGAAAAAGAGAGAGAGCTAGAGACTGAGAGAGAGATTGAGAGAGAGAGAGAGAGAGAGAAGAGGGAGTAGGCGTTTTGCATCAGTAACTACTGTAGCAGCGTCAATTAACACCTTAGTAATTTATTCGCTGTGATTTTCGCGTTGCCAATACGTGCATGTAATATTATTGATGAGAGCCTGAGACGCAATTGTAGTAGTGGTAGTATTAGCAGTAACAGAGGTAGCTTCTGTGGCAGCAGTAGTAATAGAAATAGTAATTTTAAAAACAGTAGTAGTTGTGAAAGTAGTAATAGAGCTAATTTACGCGAGTATGGTAGTTACATTAAACCTTTTGAAGTAGTTGTTTGATCAATATTCCAAATAAAATGCCGATAAAATATTTGCAACAGTTAAAATTGATGAAGAAATAGTCCGGTTAATACTAGCGTTAATACTTTCATTTAAAAAAGGGTATTTTAAATAAGTTTCGCCGTAATTGAGCCAATAATAAGTATTTAGAATAAGAATGGTCTAAAATAATTTGTTTCAAAGGATTTTATCATGGTAATTGTTGTTGCCTTTTGATCATTACTTTGAAAAAATTGAAATATTAAAACAATTATTATTATTATTGGTATTATTGGTAGTAATAGTAGTAGTAGTACTAATATTTGTGTTGAACAAACAGTATTGCTATAGCAGCAGTAGTAGGGGTAACAGAGGTAGTAGTAGTAGTAGTAGTAGTAGTGGGGTAACAGTAGTAGTAGTAGTAGTAGTAGTAGTAGTAGTAGTAGTAGTAGTAGTAGTAGTAGTAGCAGTAGTAGTAGGGTAACAGTAGTAGTAGTAGTAGTAGTAGTAGTAGTAGTAGTAGTAGTAGTAGTAATAGTAGTAGTAGTAGTAGCAGAACCAACATCTGCTGCAGAAGTAGCAGTATAAGTAGCAGTAGTAGTAGTAGTAGTAACAGTGGTAGTAGTAGTAGCAGTAGTAGAAGTGGTTATAGTAGTATTAGTATTGTTATTATCATTATCATTCAACTTTTTCTTCTTCTTATATTATTATTATTATTATTATCATCATTATCATCATCATTATTATTATTATTATTATTATTATTATATTATCGTCGTTTTTATTATTTATATTATTATTATAAAAGACCATTAATAATTGCAGCTGTAATAGTGTTATAATCGCATATACAATTAGACATCACACACGGGCGGCTGGCTCTCTTCAGCGTTCAGTGATTTCAGATCAAAAGAAAATGTACACTAAGTATAATGTTGCCTCAGTAATTTTCTATTAATTTGAGGACTGGTATTACTAGTCGTAGTGGTAGTAGTAATTAGTTAGTAGTAGTAGCAATTAGTTATAATTGTAAAATCTATCAGTAGTTATTGTTGTTGTTGTTGTTATATTAGTAGAAGTAGAAGTAGGTGTGGGTTGTAGTAGTTTTAGTAACAGTAGTAGTAATAGCAGTAGCAGTAGTAGTAGTAATAGTAGTAGTAGTAGTAGTAGTAGTAGTAGTAGTAGTACTAGTAGAGTATTGTGTGTTATTTTATAATGTTTCTAGCGTTATTTGATACAAATACAAATAAATTTTTAGCATTCAAAACGATAACATAGCATGTTACTATGCTAGTAGTATTTAGATTACTAATAATCGTATCGTATCGTAATGTATCGTAATACTAGCTAGTATCGTATGCACACACAGTCAGTAGTAACGGTACTTCAAGATTTAGTAAACTTGAATGATTGCATTGTAATTAACGATAGCGAAGGTGTTTGCCTTGGAATGCAAAATAATTGAAGGAACTTCGCATGTCCTAGAATAATTTGTCCTCTGATTGAAAATTTTCATCTTTCTTTCTTTCATTCATTCTCTTCCCGTCCTTCCTTCTCCCTTCTCTCTCTCTCTTTTTCTCTCTCTCACTTCAACTCTCTTTTCCCCCTGTCTCTCTCCTCTCCATTCCCACTATTTCTGTGTCTTCCTATACACCACACATATACGTGTATGAGAACTAATATGAGAATTCTAGCATACCTCTATGTATTACGTGTTTGTATATTTTAAATTATTTTTGTATCTCATGTTCTAGCAACTGAGCAACACGCTAATATAAATTTTTGTTATGCATATTCTATCATCTCCCGTTTAATAACATAATTTTTATAACAAACACATGAAAATACCGAAATAAACAAACATTCATACAAACAAACAAACATACAAACAAACGAACAAAACAAAATATACAAAAGTCATGCAAATATACAAACGTATAAACATATAAATTTGAAAACAAACATAGGGGTACATATACGTACTTCGAAACAACCACAACAAGACAAACATACATACGCAGAGACAAACAGACACACAAACACACACAAACATACAAAAAAACAAACACACAACACAGACACACAAACAAACATGGCATATTCTGTACTCTGCGTAATAAAGCAAGACATAATCAGTGGTGCACGCTCAACTCCACAAGCGATGGATAATGTATGCGCAGATCACATTAGAATTGACTTTCATTTGTTTTTCTTCGTTTTTCTCTACTTTGTATTGTAATGAATTGTTTTGTATCTTCTGCATTTTATTTTGTATCTTTAGCATTTTGTTTTGTATCTCTTGCCCTTTGTTTTCGGTTCTTTTTCAACGTTTTTTTTAAATGTTCGTTTTTATTTTACTTTGTCGTTGTTTCTACTGTTTCTGGCTTTTGAAAGTTCTGTATTTGTGTGTGTGTGCGTGTGCGTGTGTGTGTGCGTGTGCGTGTGTGTGTGCGTGTGCGTGTGTGTGTGAGCGTGTGTGCTTTAGGTTTTTAAGTGTCTTTTTGTCTGTGTATGATTTAAAAAAAAATCTGGATGACATTAGGTCATAGAACGTGTTTTTAAGGTTTAAACTATGTCATAATACACATCAATTTGTATTGATTTTTTTAAATAAATGTTTGTTATCGGAAATACGCTCATTGTTTACGACTTGTATTTTTCTGGTTAGTTTTGTTTTTATGTGTAAATATTTGTTTGTATCTGCGTGTGCGTGTATGTATGTGTGTGTATGTGTGTGCGTGTGCGTGTGTGTGTGATATCCGCAGTATACATCGTATCGGTTCACTGGCAGTTTTTGTTTATGTGAAGTAATATGTATCTTGGTATTACGTGTGTTCACTCGTTCGTTCATTCGTTCACGCATTCATTTATTTATTCATTCATTCTGTCATTTATTTATTTGTTCTTTCATGCATTCATTCATTCAATCGATCATACGAACATTTTTTCATTCATTCATTCATTCATTCAGTCAAGCTTTTGTTTGTTTGTTTGGTCTTGCATATTTCATTATTTAATTCATTTAATATTTTATTCAATTGTTCAGATATTTGTTTGTTTGTTCATTTATTCATTCATTCATTCACTCACTCATCAATTCATCGTCATTTATTTACTTATTTTTATACTGAATTGTTCATCTATGCCTTCATTCAAAAACAAAAATTCTATACATATATTTATATGGTTCTTTTTATTCATTCATTCATTCATTCATTCATTTATTCATTCATTCATTCGTTCATTCGTTCGTTCGTTCGTTCGTTCGTTCATTCATTCATTCATCCATTTACTTATCCAACGATTCATTCACTAACCTCAGTCAATTCATTCATTCATTTATACACACTTTCCTTCCCTCTTTTCTTCACTCATTCTTGATCCTTCCATTCATTCATCCATCGATCTCTCGATCGACAAATCCACATAAACATGTGACTCACGGATAGATTTAGAATCCTTACATACGCTCCATGTATCACGAACCGTGTAAATTATTACTAAGGTAATGTACACACACATGTCACACACACACACACACATACATGTATGTATGTATGTATGTATGTATGTATGTATGTATGTATGTATGTATGTATGTATGTATGTATGTATGTATGTATGTATGTATGTATGTATGTATGTATGTATGTATGTATGTATGTATGTATGTATGTATGTATGTATGTATGTATGTATGTATGTATGTATGTATGTATGTATGTATGTATGTATGTATGTATGTATGTATGTATGTATGTATGTATGTATGTATGTATGTATGTATGTATGTAT